TCTATGTGCCGATGATTTACAAAATAATCATAAACAGTGATTTCAATGGAATCTTCAGCACTTCCACTTTTCTGTTTCAATGTAAACCTATACCATACGCCAAAAAAGAAACAAGACGATATTTAGGAGTCATTAGAAATACAATTCCGCTTTTATTTTCAAACCGCTTTCAGAAACTGTGATCATGCAAGAGAACTAACATTTTCGTGCACATCAAAATAATAAGAAAAAAATAGCAATTAAAAACCAATTATCCAAAAGCCTTTTTACAGAATTGTTGTTTTGAAAAAAGAAATGATGAGTGTTTAGGAATTATGTTCAACCACATAGAGTCATAAAATATAGTGAACACTAATGACATTACTTATTCACAATTCTAACTTAACATGATTTAGAAACGGCAACTAGGTAGCAGCAAGAAAAGAAAAGAAGTACATTTGGTCTTTGCATGGCTTTTCGCTTAATCCAGTTATCTTATATTCTGAATTTGATGGGCTGGCTCGAATCCTCAAATTCTTGAGTGTCCGTTTAGCCTGTTGTTTAAGATCTTACAAAAATATGTAAGGCAAAGTAAAAGAAGTAGCAAGGATAAAATCAATCGAACATTGGTCACCTTGGTCCAGTCAAGTGAGAAAGGATCTCTGACATTCTGGTTTGCAATTAAAAAGTCCACAACAGGACCTGGCTGTATAATCATAGTAGTGGAAACATCTGAAGGGAAAAGAATAATAGAATGAATTAGAATATTAATAAATTCAATAAAATATAAGAAAGGGTATGATGAGAAAGGCTTGCCAATATTTAAAGAGAGGCCACTCTGGGTTGTTCTAAAACTGGAGTGGAAGCCTCTGCAGCCCAGAACCCCTCCACCTACGCTAGTAAAACTTCTTGGATCATTATGGAAAAATGACTGTCTGACAAGTAGGCAACCTCTGCATCAAACCATGTTCTGTTAGAAAAAATATCAGAATAATCCTATAATCAGATGCAGCAGTAACAGTGTCTTTATTGAGAAAGAGAAACAAACAAAGATGAACTTACTGCTTAGATGCATTCTGCCGTAAAATGATGTCCAGCACCCTGATGGCCTCTTGGAAATTCTCAGATTCCTGTCCACGTAAAGCACTTGCAATAGCCTGCATTGGAATCTTAGCAGCAAAGCTAATTTCTACTTTAAATGACTTTGAGCGGTATGGTCGTTTCATCCTTTTGCGGTCTCCATCATTAGGACTTCCAGGACCTTCAGGACTACAGTTTCCATTGTTCCTGTAGGAATTAAAATACATTATATAGCAACAATCAAACAGGTTTGATTTGACAATCAATCATAAATAAGATCTCCATTATATTTATACCTGTTTGAAGAGACATCCTCGAGAACAACAGTAAATTCAAGTTTATTCCTCGGGAGAGGACCGACAGTGAATAAACTCTTCTCTCCATCATAAGCAAAATCCTTTCCAGCTAATTCACTATGATAAGTTTCATGTACCTTATCAATCACTTTTCTTCCTGCACCCTTGCCATCAACAGGACGACCATCTTCGTATGAAAGCGCAACCTGTAAATTGTAAATATTCTTTAAAATATGAACAAGATTATCATCAAACTATCTCCAGCATAAAATTATACGAGCTTTGAACAGTTACAGTGAGTTTGATCACAGTGGAACATAAATTGGTTTAAAGAAAGAGGGAAAATATAGAAAAAGGAACGTACACTGTAATGGAAAAAATGTCCTTCAATATTAGTGACATTAACTTTAAAATGATTTGTAAGCAGAGTTATCTTCTGGCCTTTGGAAGCAAGGCCACGTCGTGCAATTGGAACCCGAACAACCTTTTTCTTCAGTAACTCCGGAGGCTGCTCTAGTTCAGCTTGAACTGGAACAACATTAGGGGGAATAGGAGGTGGAGGCGGTAACGCACCATCAGCCCCATTTCCATCTGGCTCATTTGAACTCATCCTAAAGTAATTTAAATGACTAGTAAGACACATAATACATAATTACGGAACTATTTATAAGCTAATAAATATGTTGTCTATTTTTTCTATAATTCAAAACCAAGCTAGTAACAGCATTATATTGGAGTCCAAAAGGAATGCCAATTCTAAGTAGTGGTTTGAGGACAAATATTGAGCAGCTCAATTTAAACGGATTGAAACCCGACAATAAGCCAAACCAACTACCAACAGAAAATTCCAAATCTCCCATTCTTAATAGGGTGGATATAACAAAGAAATATACTGCACCAAGAACATTCAACGCTGTGGAAAGCCGAACACATAGACAATTGTAATTAACCATAGCAGCTAGTCCCCTCAAAAGGTCCAGAACAGGAAAACCATATGAAACCCTCATACGAACCAAGTAAGGTGAAATAACTTCTCAGAAGCACAATGCAGAACTCGCATGTCCAATTGACAGGCACATCAAGATAAGACACCATTCTTAGATATATTAATAATGACGTTTACGATAATGACATGCAGGGTTCAACTAAAAGCAGCAAAACGTAACGGTCATACCATTGAACGGCTCGAAAAACATTAAAAACTAGTCCGCATAGTTTCAAAATTAGATTAAAGAATCGTGTCTTGGACTAATGAAGTACAAATAAACACGACAGCTTAAACATACATCAACGCCAAAAATTTGCATATCCAACGAAGCGGAGCCAAAACATTAGGCAGTTGGTCCAACAAATAAATTAGAAAACAAAAGAACATCAAAAATCAGCATGCAAACACACATGCAAAAAACTTAAGCAAGCAAAGTCTACAGGATGGACGTCTAAATGATCCCCCAACACGTCAAAACAGAGAGACCAGAACTAGAAATGAGAAGAAATAACCACTATAAAAATAATAATAATAATAATAAATAATAAAAAACAATGTGATCAGAAAGGAAAAATCAAGCCGATTACCGAAAATGCATAAACAAGCGTGATCAGAAATAGAAAACTCAAGCCGTTCTTCAGACAACCGATTTTCAGTTCAAAATCAGGAGGAGGAGTAGAAAATACAGCAGAACACGACAAGACTCCCGACAACAACGAGAAGAAACGTTTCATAACGCTTTAAGAAGCCTTTAAGAAGGAAAACAAAATCAAAAGTAGATTGCAGGCCCGACAGTCAAGAGTAGCCGCATTCTCTCACAAAATAGAGAGAACGAAAAATATAACAGAGGACAAAAAAAAAATGACAAAAATCCATCAAAACACCATTAAAAGCATCAGAAACACAAAAAAAGAACGATGATGAAATCTGTACCTTGATCAGAGAGAAGATCGAAGCGAAGACGGAGAGTGTGAAAACCCTAGAAACTACAGCAACAACTTTACACACAGTTCTCCAGCCAAGTCAAACTGTTTCTACCTCTCTCTCTCTCTCTCTCTCTAACGCTCTCTCTCTCTCTCTCTCTAAATATGTAAATGAATACAGAGTGACGAAATCAGCTCCAACAACGACGTGCTTACATCCTTTCCTTTTATATAAAATCACACCTCACGAAATGGCTGAATCCCAACCGTTTCTCTTTTTCTTTTTAAAAATAAAAATCAAAGACGTGCCAAATCGACGGCCACGATTGCATTCAGTCAAGTGGCCCCCACGCGCGCTTTGTGTTCCTAAATTTCTCGGTTTTGCCGCGTGTAATAACCCACTCCTCCACTCAACTTTACCTTTTTGCCACCACTTAATTCGCAAAATGGCGGCTGTGTCCCATACCCTTACGTTTTGTGCTGCGTGGGTCCATGTGTTCCTAACCTATTGACACGTGTATTTTCGTTCGGGTATAAACAATTCATTTCGCATTAAATTATTATTTATTATATGAGGGCAATAATGTCCTAAATACGAGGGGTAGAAGAGTAATTATCAATGCTATTTCAAAAGTTCACTCTTAGAACCGTCTAGAACGGTAATAAATCCCTATTTATAATGGAAAAGAGAACGAAAATAATTTTTTTTAAATGGATTATTTATTACTATTATTACCGTAGTAATAAATGGTTGAATGGTTAACGATTATTGTGATATTGAAAATTAAAATTGTTATACATTATGTTTGTTCATCCTTATATCCTTATAATTGTATTTTTACTTGTATTTATTTATAGAAGGTTATTGATAATAATGCATTTGAAAATTAATCAAAAATAAATATCTATGTCTAGAAAATCCATACGATTTCAGTACGAAATTCGTAATATAAAATTAAATAGAAAATGTATAAAAAAAATGGTAATTGAGGAATTTGGATCGAAATAGAATTTCATTAACGAAATATTTAAAATTTAATCAACATAATCTGTAGAGACAGAAACATTAATAATTCATAATTAAAGATTTATTAATATGCTAAGAATTAATTTTGAAATATATAGTTTTTTGTTTTTTTTTTTTGTTTTTGTTTTCCTCTACTAGATTATAATTTTTATACAATTAAAAATTATTATAAAAGTAATTTTAAGAAAATCATCAAATTAAAAACATTACAATTTTATACTAAAATAGAAAAAAAAATCGTTAAATTGAGGGGCGACACCTGCCTCTCCTAGCCTCTCTATGTATCGACACCTAGTCTTACTTAGATTATTACTTTACCTTATAAATTCGATAAAGCAACTTCGTTCCTCGAGAAAGAAGATGAACTTGAGCAAATAGAACCTAATATATCCATACTTGTTCTCAAGAAATAAGATGAACTCAAACGAACGAAACCTAATATATCCACACTTGTTCTTACTTGAATTATCATTTTACCTCATAAACACGATAAAGCAACTTTGTTCTTCGAGAAAGAAGATGAACTCGAGCGAAGCAAACCTAATATATCCACACCTGTTCTTACTTGAATTATCATTTTACCTCATAAACTCGATAAAGCAACTTTGTTCCTCAAGAAAAAAAGATAGAACTCGAGCGAATGGAGCCAAAGATTTCTAAATTCACATCAGCACAACATGGCGCCAAAACAACAGGTACTACAATCATAATCAGCCAAAAAAAAATAAATTTTCTTATTATTCAATTCTCATAAGGCCTAACCAACAATATTTCTATTTTTTTTTTTTTTTCTTTTCTTGTTCTTCTTGCATATCCAAAATTTCTTTCCCCCTATTTACAACGTTACACAGTCCAGAGAAATACCAATGTGACTGACAGGCAACATGGGGATCTCTCTTCAAGCTTGCAGGCAGCACCAAAACAAAGGCAGATACCCCACACAACCTCATCTCAACTTCTAAGAAACCTCAGCAGCAGCCATAACAGAGGCATTCACTTGAATATTTAATGTACAAAGCCATTTTAGCCTCAAAACCAAACTTAGCTCCTCAATTCACCTATCAAGTTGTTAGAATTGTCTTCAAAATTGGAATATGTCGCCATGAAGGTTGATCACTTCACTCTTAATTCCCATCCTCTTTTGCAGTTGCTGACTTCTCTTTAGCACGGAAATCGTCCAAGCTACGGTATTCCTCCCTAAGTAACTTGTCTAGTTCTGGATGTTTCTTTAGGGGCTCTTTCTGATCTCGTTGCCTACGATAGTGGTGGAAAGCCCTGCAAGGTATACGGAATAGATGATTTGACCCAGTGGCAAACGATACTAAATATAATGTTAAGACAACCAGCTGAAATATAGAGAAGAACAGATTGAAAACTCAACTACTTCCGACCTACGGTCAGAAATTATGAGGCTTATACGAAAATAGAAAAGAAAAGATGCTCAAAACAATTAATATTGTCAAAGAAACAAGATGCTCGAACTGTTAGTGTTGGGCAGGAGCAGGTAAACTCGACCAAAAAAGGAATGTGTACAAGTTGAGATTATGTGAAATATCCTCCAATATTTTGGAGATACACGATCGTTTGGAGATATATACTCCAAGATTTTGGGATTTGGAGTTTGAAACCTAACCATTTACAACTCATGTTGTCTCCCAGGGCTGGCCTTGCCATGCAAAATCTCTTGGAACTTGGTGGAACTAAGCCATGAGCATAATGCAAGGAATGATACTCCAATATTTGTTGGTCAAGATGTATTTATATACATATATATGTGTGTGTGTGTGTGTGTGTGTGTGTCAAGATGTATTTATACATACATATGGTCTCTCTAAATGTCCAACCACAAAAAAATCTGAAGGAAGGGAAGAACACAAGGAGTGAAGGAGAAAGAATCTTTATAGTCGAGTCAAATAGCAATGAGACCGAGTTTATAGTTCAAGAATAAACAGGTTCAATTAGGTTCAGAAGTTCTATAGATGCTGATGCCTGCGCTTTTTCTTCTAATTATTTTCATGGCCTGATGGAGAGGTTTTTATAGATCTCCTTAAACTAAAATGTTAGGAATAGCCATCTTGTCTACCCCGTCATGTCCACTTTCTGTTTCTTAATGTATGTGTCTCTCTTTATCTATTGTTGTTTTAGTGAGATTTCCTAGAGAACGTTAATACAGCTGAAAGGTTGCAAAAATGGAATCCCTGAAGAAACAGTGGGACAATCGATCTTTCAATGCATATTTTAGCAGACACTTCGGGAACTCGTTGATGAAGTTCAATGTTTCATGCGCAAGCAATTGAGAGATCAATCAAAATAAAACAATCCACTTGCTTCAATCGATGAAAGCCATTAAAGTTCATGTGGGCAGAAGAATTTATTATAATACAGATAGAAGTTAGGAAGAGGTTTGATTTGGCCAACTTCCAGTGTTCTAAATGGTATTTACCCTAATGGTTTTTGTAACTATACCTCCTTTGTAAAGCTTGTTTTTATTTTTTATTTCTTTTAAAAAAGAAAATTCTCCGACAAAATGCCTTGGTCAATGTATATAAACTTACTTCAGTATGCTTATTCCCTTTTATTATAGAGGGCAGGGTGTTTTGAAGCTGTTGTTCAAAGCAAGGAGAGAACCAGACTTCGGCATCGACAATTCAAAGCTAACAAACAAACTATAACTAAGGCTTAAACCTGGCCTCCCTAAGAATTTTCGAAGATCCTCCTCTTGATTATGTATATGAGTGAAGTAATACAAATAAAAAAAAAAAAAAAATCTTATGGCTCGTGTTTTTAGGAATCTTGTTAGAGGTTTTGAAAAGAAAAACTTGTGTTCTGAATATTCTTCTCTCTACAAACTGTTCCAGCGTTCTTCAAGAACGGAAATATTCACAAAGATGTATTGACTATCCATCAGAGGTTGGCATTAGGTCATTTTTTCAAAGGGTGGTCAAATACGAGATGTGTATCATGATATGAACCTAAACACAGATTAAAGACGGCATCCCTTTGTTTATCGTTTGGCATCACTAAGACTGCCAAAAAAAATCTCAGTTTACTGTCTGCAGAATTTGTCATCAGTGCTAAGATCTAGTTATGATACATAAACATAAATAGATTAAAGCCGGCAGTAGGAAATTTAAATGCATCGAAAGGAACAGGAAATACATAAGAACTCACCAGTATTTCTCAAGGCCGTACAGATTTCCTTTCTGGAAGAACTCGAGTGTAAGCTGTTCAAAGTCCGCGTATAAATTCTCCCTAAATTCCTTTTCCAAACCATAGCTGATACCAGAAAATAAATAGTCAAACTTATAAAATGTTACCAGAAGATTTTGCTTCAGAATTCAACTTTTATTCATATAAAAAAAATGCGATTAAAAAACGTAAGCATTAAAGGCAAGACTCGTGCTGAAACTTCAGAAAGTGAAGATAGCACGTAAACAAGAAAACTCTAGAGGATGAATGCGGAAAAGGGAAGTATGATTAGTAGCCGGTACCTATAGAACCTGAAAAGGCATTCTATTCCATAATTATAGTTAGACGCAGCATCTTCCAGTGCATATTTTCGGAAGTCATTGTACATTGTAATGACAAACATGTCTCTTAGAAAATAAGACCAAAACCGATAAAGAGTATTCATTTCCTGCAGAAACAGATCACTTTAGAGGTAAATTTATATATAAAATGTACATGTAAAAGATTGACACTGTCAACTATGTAAAAATTTAAAATGTTGATTCCAAGAAGACAAACAAAAAGGTATACGTGGTTAAGACAGCATGAATAAGACATGAAAGAAGAGTAGATCTGAAAAGTACTTAATTAGATATAAGCCATGGGCTTTATCAAGGGCAAAACTTGTCCTCATTTCACCGAAGCAATGATTAAAAGAATGAAAGATCTTACACCAAATATAATTTATGTGCATGCTCATATAATCAGGAAGATTCAGCACTAAAGATTAAATACTCCAGAAGAATGGACTATAAATAAAATATAAGTAAAAGAAGCAATAATGAAATTTTCCGAGATGCAATAAATATGATGATAGGAAAGTATAGGAAGGCAATCCACCTCGCTGCAACCAATTCCCAACTTCTTTCTATCATTCAAGCACTTTTTGTAATATTTAAGGTACCTAAAATGAGAAAAATAGGAAGACTTCAAATTACAAGCTATCCTCATATCTGAGCAAAATATATAACATAAGTAAATGACTGTCTCACTTCTGCTGTTTAAAACCATTTTCTTCTAGAAGTTGATGACTGGGATGCTGAAATGGCGGAAAAGACTTGGGCAGGGAACCCACAGGTGGACTATTTGCAAGGAAATTTCCATGAGGAGAAACACTCAATTTCGATGGCCTGGAGCTGTAAATATAAGATCAAACTCTTATTAGCCCATCAAGTTGGGGGGAAACATTTGGAGTATGATTTCTTTGTATAGGAAACTGAAAAAAAGTAACTTTAGTCCTACAATTAACTTCCTTTTTCTCAAGAGCAGTGAGCGCGTATATTCCAACTAGCAGCAGGCATACTTTAGTAGAAAGAAAATCCATCATATTTTCTACGCACGAGAGCTTCTTCAGACTAACCTTGTGCTTTCAGGAGGAGTAGAACCAAAGAAAAAACCAACAGAATTGCTAGGTGGACTCTCTGCTACAATGCCAAGAGAGTTCCGACTGGTTCCATGATTTCTAAAGTTGCTGGAGAAAAAGCGCTGCTTATGTGATGATTGTTGTTTAGGGAAGGTTTTAGTTTGTTTCTTCCTGGGACTAGAATTTCCGATTTCATCCAAACCACAGTATCCAGCAGAATTTTCACTAGGTTTTGACCTTGCTGGTACTGAAGCATTGCTAGATAATCTTGAGGCTCCTTCCCTATTCTCTGAGTTGCATTTGCTCTTTTTACGATTAGATCGCTTTTTTTCCAGTACCTTTGCATGTAAAAAAAAAACTTTAACAATCATTAAAAAATGGGAGAAAGAATTCCATAAAAACAAAATAAGAGGGATGGTAGGTCCTCAACTTGCTCGTAGAAGTAAAGACCATCATTTATTGTTGAAGCAAGCTCTTTAGATATTGATTTTGATTCTTTGCCTCCACTTGTAGATCTCTTTTCGATGCCACTATTCTGCAAGGCAATTATGGAGCAAAAAAATTATTAAAAAAAAAAAAGAAATTTGAGATGCAACAACATTGGGAGGAATAGTCTCATAAAACACAAATATACACAAGCAGTATAATCCAGTTCAAAGTCCATATATCATAAATTCTTGGCTACCTTCGCAATCTTTTTTTCTTGGTTATTGGAAACATTTATTCTACCAAATAACGATGACAAGGCCCAATATCAGATTGAGGGGAGGGTAACTACGACCAACTAATACACTGATAGTTTCATTTCTACTTGAGTAAATATTTGTCTTCCAGAACACAAGATGCTAGGAAAATCCTCAGATTCAGAACAGTTGGCCACTAGAAAACTTTTCTTGATTTCTTACACTTTTCAGCAAGAATATTTGGATGAATGGTTGAATCAAGGTTCATATAACCACAGATAATATCAATATAAAAAAGTTACATGAATATTGTGATTTGATCTTCATCTAGTGTCCCTATAAAAAATAAAATTAATGTTATTAAATTGAGCATCAGTTGCTCGATAGGGAAGGAAATCATTTCCCTATTAACAGATACCTGGGTGACAATAATAAGTCTCTGGACATCTTGGTCATTAACAGCGATCTCGTCATCGTCTTCATCAATCCTTGGTGGATGATACAACAAAGAACAAAAAAAAATCAGAATCTAAAACCAGCTTAAACATCCTACAAATTGTTCACCATACCAATGGGTCCAATCCATTGTACACATTGGGAAGATATGCGTTTTAAGCAAAACGACCAAAAAACATGAGTGAATAGAGTCAAAACACAAAAGGCAACAAGTAGTTATCTCTCTATCAGCGTCTAATAGATAAGCAAAAGTCAATCACCAAAAGAGCCAAGAGAGTTTACAAAAAAGGACTGAGAATTGACCAAATATGAATTGTAATTACAAAAACTCAGGCACCAAATTGCAACAAAAGATTTAATGATAATAAGTCTCCAATAAACAAATTAGCAAGAATTTTTTTTATCATGCCAAACACCATTGTTGTGATCCAGGTGGATCATACTTGTACAATAAAATCTATATATCTATTTCATGCATGACAACAACATGATAGAGAGGAAAGATAGATGTATGGGGAATGAACGACTTGAGAGTTGATGGAAGCCATACAAGGAAGAAAAGAAGAAACTAGAGATGGAGAAGAAATCAAAGAATTTGTAAACCTGTGAAAGAGACAGATTTTAGATAGGAGTCTTTCATTAAAAAGGGTACAAAGGAAAACACAAAAGTCTTCCAAGCATCCAGAAAATTGTCAAAAAGCACTCAAATTGTGAAAGAATCAGAAATTGGATCAGTAACAAAAGTCCCTAGATTTGGGGGGGGGGGATGGAATCTTCATACAAAAGCTAGTACCATCTACAGAATTTACAAAAGAAAACTTTACCCTTTTAAAATCCCCTCTTTTTTCTTTCTAATTATTTCCAAAAGAAAGCTACACAAAAATTTGCACAAACCCTTGGGTTTTCCAACAAAGGATATCTTGAAGTGATTTTTTCTTTTTTTTTTCTGAGAAAGAGAATAAATTTCATCTATGATTGAAATCAAAGGAGATAAAAAATAAAAAAATAAAAAAATAAAAAAACTCTCATCCACCATTGGTGGATTACATAAAAGCTCTCCCATTAGGAACTAAGTTAGAAAGAATAAAAGCTCTAAAAGATTGTGACCCTTTACACCAATATCAAGCATTAAGAAAAACCCCAAGCTATCAAAGGATGACGATTTGTCATTGAAGATCCGAACATTCCCTTAAAGCCAAAAAGTCCAAAAGAAGGATGGAATGAAAGCAAGCCAAAGGGTCTTCATGTCACCCGTGATAGGATGTCCCACAGGCCACAAAAATGAAAGATATGAAATAACTTATGTCTTGCAGAACTAACCATAATCCACCCAAAACTCTCCAAAAGAGTGTTCCAGTATTGTTGAGCAAAATATCAAGTACTAAAGAAGGTGGTAATGAGACTCAGATTGAGCTTTGCACATAATACACCAAGAAGGAGAATATGTGGCAAAGGAAGAATTTGAATGAAGCTTTTGACCAAGAGAGACTAACAAATTGATATTCTTTGACCAAGTGACTAAGAACAATGAACAAACAAACGTAGATCAGTCTCCTCCCTCTTTATAATGACAGAACCTTTCTCTTTCTTCCTTTCTTCTTTTTTTTTTTTTTTTTTTTTTTTTTTTTTTTTTTTTTTTTTTTTT